GGGACTCTATTCTGCCGATTCGCCTTTCAGAAAGAGCGGAGCCTCTGCAAAAGAAGCAGGACTATCTGTTGCAGCCCAAAAAATCGGAAATTTTAGTGAGAATATCAAAATTTTGCCAAAGACGCAAAACCGGGCGTGATCAAAGAAGTGGGGGTTATGATTGCGCATCTGTGAGTATATTCGTTTTGTGAGAGGGGCGGGGCGTGCAGCACTACCTAGTGTTCTCTAGCCATAGAACTGACCGATATAAAGTGCGTGTCCGATTTAGTTTAAAAAGGTGTTCGATACAAAATTATAATGTAATTACCCTGAAATTCGATTTGAATCAGAACTAACTTACCAAATCTTTGTCCAAAGGGTGTTAATTGCGGTTGATCTTGACTGCTACTGGTGCTATCTCCTCGTGCACCATTTCGACATGGTGGTACATATGGTCGAGACTGGCCTCCTCCTTTCACAGGTGCACCACCAGTGCTTGGATGATTCCGACCTAAAATAACGAAACATAGCATTACATCGAGCATTACATCATAGTAAGGAAACAAGTAATGTAGAGAAGCTGATGTGAGCATTAAATGTCAACTCAACGCACCCCATTGCTTGACTGGAGTCCATCCACCAGAACCTCCTTTGTGCCCAGCAGTACTGGTATCATTTCCACCGCCAGAATATGCCGCACCAGTGGCCACACTGGCACGTTCTGCGTGAGAGAGTGACGACATCGCTTTGGACGAATTAATGTTTTGTTGAAGACGCTGGAATTTTTGTAAAAAATAACGGGCGAGGGAAAAGAGACTGGTGCTTCCCGTCAGCAGAACCGTCTTTAAGAAAGCGGAGACTCATATAAACAGTTAACGAGATCCGATAACAGGGTAAAACATTAAGGAGACGGCATCAGTACGACCACACTCCTACAACTTACCGAACATCTCACTAACTACTCCCAGAATTTCGCAAAACGGACGAGTTTAGACGCTTTCGATAAACAATCAGAAATAGTGGTTCTGCTGCAAAACCGACTACACTGCTAGAGCTTGCATGAAACGGGAGAAATCAGCAACTGGAAAATTGCTGCGATCGACGACCTGCGACCAAGTACGGCCTCTCCCCCTCTTCCGTGGCCAGACATGACCCCCTCCCCATGGTTTTATACAGGAGGTGATCCTGCTACGAATTTTGGGTATCTATACATCCTGCAACTCAGAGAACTGCATACTTGATAGCCTGCCAATATGGTCTCTCCTGTTTGAGCCCCTTGAGCCCCCACCTTTCCGTTCGCCTAAGGTCCCGGGTGGACTGGTTCTTAAAGACAATTCCCGCGATCAAGTGTTCGGGTAATTGGTGCTCAGTCACGAAGCAGTGGCCCATTTGTAACCCCCAGTGGAAAAAAAAATCGAAAAAACCTCCCTTTAGCAGTGGGGCGGGGCCTGGACGAGTGTGCCGGACGTGGCTGCCAGAAATCGATGCGGCAGCCGCAATTGCGTCCCGACTTTCGAAATAGGATACTTTAAAGGGACGGAAGCAGCTCGGGACCGGACGCCTCGTCCACCGTGTCAGCGAGCCTAGCGAGCCTTGTGGAAATCGCTATAACTTCCTTATCGCGCCATATTGAGGGATGAAAGTGGTATCATCTTCGTCAAGGCGTAGAGGGTTCCAAAAAGCACGAAGTCATTTTGAGGACCACTTGATCGCGGGGAGTGTCTTTAAAGAGTTACGTTGCCAGCAAGCCGTAGTATTACGCCGATCTATTCTAGAGCATGGACGGGAACTCGCACAAAACACACCACCTTCCCAAGGGGGAACATAACCTCTCCTAGCAGTCGGCTTATGATTTCAGTTCGCGAGCTCCTGGGCAGTTCTCCTTGTATTTCATCATTGAGCCAGCTTTCCTACTGGTCATCGATGTTTGACTACCTATGAGCACAGCTTGGAGTTCTGACTTATTAAATGAATAAATATCACTATTGAGTTTCTTTTTTTCACATGAAGCACCCGGGAAGCACCACTGAAAAACACGCATTGGGAAACCTCCTCCGGAAAAAAACACACTATAAAAGTTCCCTCACCTGTTCCAAATCCGACAAAGGATAGCACACTATCGGTGGAAGGGCTTCTTCAACATAAAAAGGACAGTTTTGTAGACCTTCAGGAGGTGGATGGCCAACAGCTTCTCCCATCAAGGCCAGCATGTCTTCACGGCCGTAGCGATTTTTCACAAAGACCGGAGCAGCGACAGGATAGTCTTGCTGTAGAAATCAAAGGTTATACAAGATCTCGTGGTTTCAGTGCTAATCAGATGAAAGATTCTGTGCAATTAAGGATAAAGGATAAACGATAACGTCTTCGCCGTTGATCAATCCCTTTTGTGGGATGCGGCCAAATCTTACTCCCATCAATCCCTTTGTGGGATGCGGCACGCATCCTATTTCCATCAATCCCTTTGTGGGATGCGGCACGCATTCTACTTCCATTCAGAATCGTAGTGGCTTATTGAATGCGATGTGGCCTATACAATGACTTGCGGTGGCCAGCCGATGTACAAGTCAGTGTTTTATCCTCCCAGACGAATCTGGTACCAATTCACCGTCCCCGGAGGGTAGAAGGCTTGGTTGGCCTGGGCGGGAGTCGACCCGGGATTCGAACCCGGCGCCGCGCGAGTGGTAAGCGCCACTTGTCACTACACACCACCTCGGTCTCTGTGCAATTACCTTTACGCTGCTTCTGGATGAACATGATTTTCAGACCAAAACATTTCCAACATTACATTAGGGATTGTTGAAAGTCCACTGGAATTTGCAATGGAGCACCTAGGTACATCGATAGAGCTTGAATTGCTGAATTACGAATAATGCAGATTGAAAGTGCTACGGGGAGTTCCCAGACGAGATCTGGATGTCAAAGTTTGCGAAAAGCCAGTATTGGCTCGTAAGCGCTGCTGATCGATGCCTCGGCAGTGCCACCGTGGCCTCGTGGTAATGGTCTCGCTTTCAAGTCAAACGCATGCGGGTTTGCATCCGGTTGGCGCGAAAATTTTTGCTTCGCTCCCTATAAGAGCTTCAACTCTAATTTTCGAAATTCTTCCGAATTTACGGCCCAGCAGGGCAAGTAGATCAAGTACATCAAGTATACGACGTACTCGATCTAGTATGGATTTGGTCATATCTGCCCTCTCTGAACATATTACCCATCCCAATTCAAAGTTTTGGCGAGAAACTCGTTCATGGGAGATTTCGACCCCCTGAACACGAATATCACATCCTTCGACGAAAAACGCTCTTCTGGCCAAATTGCGATTCTGGGCAAAACTTTGAATTGTCGGATGGGTAATATGTTCAGAGAGAGGGCAAGCGAGACCATTACCACGAGGCCACGGTGGCACTGCCGAGGCATCGATCAGCAGCGCTTACGAGCCAGAACTCAAACTTTGACCACCCAGATCTCGTCTGGGAGGTCCCCGTAGCACTTTTAATCTGCATATTCGTAATCAGCATTCGAGGCTCTATCGATGTAGGTCTCCATTCAAGTTCCATGGGAAGTTCAAACCATTCCCTTGTTAGTGGAAATTATATGCTAGCGTCCCTTAACCTTCTTAGGGAGAAAATTACTAGTCGAAACGTTTAACTGTTTTGTCGGAGTCCCATGAGATCCTACCTTCGCTAATTCCCGCTCTCCCATTTTTTAGCACTACTTCACTTGTTCCAAGGGTTTCACCTGTTGAAGGGTCCCAGTGGCAGTTTTGCTTTACACTATTTTCAACATTCTGTACTAAAACCATAGGAGCAGCCACTCACAACTGGAGGCGCAAATTAGTTATTTGTCTTACTTATCTTTTTAAACTTCATATTGCAACACTGGAAGAAGAAAACGCACGATACAGGAACATTAGGATTAGAGAGGTATAAAGACTTCGCGCTTAATCGAACTGGAAGGGTCATTGGGATGGACGAAATAAAGGTCTTAACACGAACAACTTTCACATCGTCTTACTACCTTATGATTTCTAGTGGAGAGAGGGAGTAAACTATTCCGATCAACAGTCGCAAATAGTAGTTCTGCCGCGAAATCAACTAGGGGGAGCACAGCGCGAGCGAAACCGGAGAAATCAAAACCGAAAATTCCTCTTTCGCTTCTGCAATTTCACACTGAGTGACAAGGGCCTCGCTCACTTCATCTTCCACCAGTTCTGCATATAGAACTGGTGTCAAGCATCCTAGATGGGGCCGACCTGTAGTTCACCCGTCATTCAGCCCCTCCCCCTCAACGCATTATGAAGCATTGTGCTCTAAACGCAGCATTGCTGCGTGGGATCAGGTCGGTTTATACTTTGCGGCAGCGTTTTCAGCGACAAGGAGGGTATAGGTATAGGTTACGTTGATCCAGCGTTTTGAGCGTCCGCGAGAATTTTAAGATTCCGCAAGCGTTTGCAGCGATAATAGATACCTGTACACTCAAACCTGTTAGTCGCTCAAAACGATTAACTGATACCCAAACCCTGGTCGCTCAAAATGCTGCTGCAAAGTATGAATGTACTCGAACTGGTCAACAAGTGGGATAAGCAAAAGGTCAACAAAAGTGCTGATTAATAGGGTAGTTCCCTAATCGACGGGACATGTGGCGTTTCTATAGGGAGCTCTTCATTTTCTGCGAACGGCACGATTCATTTCCATATGTTAACCTAATTACAAGACAGTGTAAAGTACAATTATTAAGAAGTGAGATAGCAGAATCCACTGCTGAAAAGGTCACATGAGTAGAAAAAGAACCTTACAAATTCCAAACCTACCGTTTTAGGAGAGCGAACCGTAGCAGCAGCATTTCCTCCGCCATTGAAAGTGGAACGCATCCTGTACAACCAAATAATTCGGTATTTGAAACAATACCAAATATACAGTATGCTAATCGATACTAACCAAGACGGATTAAAGCTGTTCTGCTGAGAAGAATCAGCAGCAGCAGCAGGAGCAGTAGGAGCAGCAGCAGCAGCAGCAGCAGCGACAGGGGCAGTAGACGTCATGACGACAGAGAGCTGAAACTTCCTATCTGGTGACGTTTATAAAGACCCTTATATGCCGCGACGTTATGCAGAGCTTAAACCCATTTATTTTCGTATTCAAATTCATCGATCTACACAAAATGGCACAACATATCGACCAACAGATTGGAAAGCAAAACTATTTCTCTACTCCATATCCTACAAAATGAGAGGGCGTGGCTGCACGCGCCACTCAAGCAAGGCCTGGAATGGGTCTTTGTGGGATATTTTATTTGAGACCGCTATCATCGTGCCTTGTGCTCAACGAAGACACGTTTACAATAATCCCTAAAATCCGAAAACATCTCATCGGAAACGCAACTTCGAACATGCAGCCACGCCCTCTCCATGTCCGAGACGTGGACTGTATGGACTCAAAACTATTGCACGATAGAAATATAAGGAGCAGATAAACAAATGTTTCCCGCAAGGCTCTCAAGGCCGCGATCTTAAAGGAAAGTTCCGGTGCGGCCGAATTCACCCCTTGACCTCCTCTCTCAGTGCCTAAATAGAAATTCATTTTGCTTGGACTGTAGGCCTGTTGTACACTGTCGCCGGGAAACAAGCCAGCCGTATTTCGCAGAAAGCTTGGGTTCCAGAGAAGTTAATGCTCTCCAGAATTTTTATGGAACGTAATCAATAGAAAACTGTGCGAAATAAGTGAAAAAAGAAAAAGTCGACCGTTTACTACATCTGGCAGCTTCTAAGTCGGAGTCAACCCTTGATATAGAAAAAACGATGGAAAAACTCAGTTGACTAGAAAAACCCTCGTGCGTTCTATGCCGACCAATTTTAAAGGGCCTCAATTTACCACAATCGATTGTAGAGCCGAACGCAAAAATCTCATTCCATTCCTCATTGTAAATCTCATTCCCTACAACAATGTGAGTCTGAAAGCTAGATAAACAATTCAGTAAAGAAATAAAAAGATATATGCAAAAACCCAATTTCTGTGAAATATACTAAATTCCTGTTGTAGTATCAGTGACGAAATACAAACGTTGAAAACGTCCCCCACTAACTGCTAGCCCGGCCAGCTACACGTCCAAAACCAGTTGTAACGCCACCAAAACGGCTCTGGAAGTGCAGAACAAAAAATCGATTTGAAAGGTCACAAAAAACAGGACGGGTACACAACCCCATCGTAAGGTCAACTACCCCAGCAGTGCGTATGGACTGGCGATTTCACCCAGCAGGCAACAAAATGGGTCAGGAATTACCCCCGCTCTAAATCAGGAAGTGACCCGAAAGGAAAATGGAAAAAGCAATCCCACAACGGAAGTGAATTGTTGGATCGCGGCTGCCACCAAACAGAGGACCGCGACGCAGCAGGTTTCGCCGCGGGGCGCAAAGGGACCACAGGGCGCGCATTCTGTCTCAACAAGGGTCACATTTAGCCTGGCGCTTGAACGCGTTGTTCTATGGCATGTTGAGAGTAATTGCAGTGTTGGGTAATCGTTAAGGGACGTTTCGAGTTGTTTGAAAAGATTACGCAACTAATACTTTTGATGGGGGTCCTGCTGCGAAAAGCCAGAGCGCAGAGAAACAAAGAACTGCGGCCGCCAAGGCATTGAGAGGTACAAAAACATATCGCGAGCCAGGAGATGATTGTCTCCAAAGAGAGAGAGGACACCGGGACAGATGAGCCACTTACTATGCGTGAAAAGTTGGAAAGTGAAAGGTCAGAGCGGTCACAGAACGCCATGAAGACGTGAGGGCGCAGAGAAAAACAGAAAGTTGGCGCCATCAAAGGGATTGAGTGTTAGTTGTCCGTAGGCCGTTTGAACAATAGCGGGCAAATCGGCTAGTCACGTGGACATCAATTTTGGAAATATCCGTTTGCGAGCACGCATCGATCATGCGCGTGACTGGCGCAGGCGCAAATCGTAAGACTTGTAAACCGTAGGTTTTGTAGCAGGGGGGCCCACTTGTAATAATCGGAGATCTTCCAACGAGGGGGCAGTTGTTTGATCGCTGGAGAGGGGGGGGGGCGTTAAGGGAGGACGGCGCCGCGAGCACCTATCCTACTAATATCAATCGCGATGTGCGTGTGTGTGTGGTGGTGTGGTGTGTGTGTGTGTGTGTGCGTCTGTCTGTGTGTCACGAAATTCATAGCACCTGAAGAAGAGCCTGGCGGGGTCGGGTCAGGGTGGGGATGGATAGTGCATGGGACAAAACCTAAAATAGCACCCCATGACCCATGGTAAGCCCCGCCCACAGTGGGCGGGGCGTGCGTCCAAAGTTTGCGATGTCACTGAAAAAGGTCATAACTCGATTCCAGAGCAGTCCCGTGATGAGGAAACAGTGCAGTGAAGTTAACAAAGGCCTGACCGACCAAACATAGGAGACACACCCGAAATGGGCGGGGCGTTCTTGAGATGGGCGGTGCTTCCCGTGTCACTGAAAAAAGCTATAACTCGGCTAAAAGGCAACCCGGAGATGGGAAAAAGTAGAATAAGGCTAGCATTGGGTTGGCGGAGCAAATAAAGGAAACACACCCGAAATCTGGCGGTACCGAAATGGGCGGGGCGTGCTTGAGATGGGCGGCGCTTTCCATAAAGATAGGTAACTCGGTTCCCGAACATGTTTAGAGGCCGCAGAAAACTCCATGACGAAGATGAACATCTGTCAAGAGTCCACCATGTTTGCGAAGTACTAAGGCCCGCCCACAGTGGGCGGGGCGTGCATTTGAACCCGAGGACCATTGTAAAAAACCGTAATTTGGTGCTAAAGCACTACAGATGGCGCAAAAAAAGTGGATTATGGCCCCCAACTGATCACATGCAGGAATGTGCGAGGCACTCCCGCTGTGGGCGGAGCGTGCCCCAAGGTGGGTGGAGCCAAACTTAAAAAATTCGCAAAACGCTCCAGAGCCCTCTAGACACCGGGAAAAAGTAGTTTAAGGTCATCGAGGGGTCATTGGTTGAGAAGCGCGGGGCATACGTTGTGGGCGGGGCGTGCCCCAAGGTGGGTGGAGCCAAATTTTAAAAATTCGCAAAACGCTTCCAGAGCCCTCTAGACACCGGGAAAAAGTGGTTTAAGGTCATTGGAAGATTATTAGTTGAGAAGCGCGAAACATACATTGTGGGCGGGCGTGCCCAAGAGGTGGGTGGAGCCAAACTTAAAAAAATTCGCAAAACGCTTCCAGAGCACTCCAGACACCGGGAAAAAGTAGTTTAAGGTCATCGAGGGGTCATTGGTTGAGAAGCGCGGGGCATACGCTGTGGGCGAGGCGTGCCCCAAGTGGGTGCCAAACTTAAAAAATTCGCAAAACGCTTCCAGAGCCCTCTAGACACCGGGAAAAAGTAGTTTAAGGTCATCGAGGGGTCATTGGTTGAGAAGCGCGGGGCATACGTTGTGGCGGGGCGTGCCCCAAGGTGGGTGGAGCCAAATTTAAAAAATTCGCAAAACGCTTCCAGAGCCCTCTAGACACCGGGAAAAAGTGGTTTAAGGTCATTGGAAGATTATTAGTTGAGAAGCGCGAAACATACATTGTGGGCGGGGCGTGCCCAGAGGTGGGTGGAGCCAAATTTAAAAATTACAAAACGGTTCCAGAGCACTCCAGACACCGGGAAAAAGTGGTTTAAGGTCATTGGAAGATTATTAGTTGAGAAGCGCGAAACATACATTGTGGGCGGGGCGTGCCCAGAGGTGGGTGGAGCCAAATTTAAAAAATTCACAAAACGGTTCCAGAGCACTCCAGACACCGGGAAAAAGTGGTTTAAGGTCATTGGAAGATTATTAGTTGAGAAGCGCGAAACATACATTGTGGGCGGGGCGTGCCTAGAAGTGGGTGGAGCACAATTCAAAAATTCACAAAACGGTTCCAGAGCACTCCAGACACCGGGGAAAAGTGGTTTCAGGGCATTGGAGGATTATTAGTTGAGAATCGCGCGTCATACATTGTGGGCGGGGCGTGCCCAGAAGTGGGTGGAGCCAAATTTAAAAAATTCACAAAACGGTTCCAGAGCACTCCAGACACCGGGGAAAAGTGGTTTCAGGGCATTGGAGGATATTAGTTGAGAATCGCGCGTCATACATTGTGGGCGGGGCGTGCCTAGAAGTGGGTGGAGCCAAATTTAAAAAATTCACAAAACGGTTCCAGAGCACTCCACACACCGGGGAAAAGTGGTTTCAGGGCATTGGAGGATTATTAGTTGAGAATCGCGCGTCATACATTGTGGGCGGGGCGTGCCTAGAAGTGGGTGGAGCCAAATTTAAAAAATTCACAAAACGGTTCCAGAGCACTCCAGACACCGGGGAAAAGTGGTTTCAGGGCATTGGAGGATATTAGTTGAGAATCGCGCTCATACATTGTGGGCGGGGCGTGCCTAGAAGTGGGTGGAGCACAATTCAAAAATTCACAAAACGGTCCCAGAGCACTTCAGACACCGGGGAAAAGTGGTTTCAGGGCATTGGAGGATTATTAGGTTGAGAATCGCGCGTCATACATTGTGGGCGGGGCGTGCCTAGAAGTGGGTGGAGCCAAATTTAAAAAATTCACAAAACGGTTCCAGAGCACTCCAGACACCGGGGAAAAGTGGTTTCAGGGCATTGGAGGATATTAGTTGAGAATCGCGCTCATACATTGTGGGCGGGGCGTGCCTAGAAGTGGGTGGAGCACAATTCAAAAATTCACAAAACGGTCCCAGAGCACTTCAGACACCGGGGAAAAGCAGCTTGAGATCAGCGAGGGGTTATTAGTCGAGAAGCGCGAGCCATACGTTGTGGGCGGAGCGTGCCCCGAAGTGGGTGAAGCCAAATTTTAAAAATTCGCAAACGGTTCCAGAGCACCCCAGGACACCGGAAAA